ACAGGAAGTGTCTATGGAAGCTGGCTTAAAGTCATCTGAAGGGAAAGAGAAAGCCTTTACCCTCTCACCGACAAGCGGGGAGCTACCAGAACATGCTCATTTCAGGGTGGTGTTCCCCTGCCCTCCACCCTGGTCCCACTCCTGCTCATGCAAACGTCTGTATGTTGGGATGTGCCCCCGAGGCACCTGCGACTCACAAGGACGCGTGAATCACAGCCGCTCTGAAGCCTGCCCTGTCCTGAGACGGTCTCACTGACTCCAACACACCAAGCCCCACTGCCCCAGTTACTGTGTGTACCATCTCATCCAGGGTCTTCTGACATTTTCACAGCTAAGTCACTATGGAAAAGCCCTAGAAGTAGGGACTGGCACAGGGGCACCTTTGGAAAACTAAACAGTAATTCCCAGCGGAGGGGAAAGCTGATGTCATCACTTCTCTCCATCCCCTCTGGATTAACTCGTAATAGGGGAGCTACAATTCATGTGCCTTCTTGTTAAACGAAGATACTCTCTTCACCCAAGTGGTACATGAAAACTGATGGAGATTTCCCATAAGACGTTTTGTGAGCTCTGGGCATCAAATGCAACAGAACATGGGGAAAAAAGAGACTCTGCAATTAACTGTAAAGTCTTACAAATAAACACAGGTCCTGCACCACTTCAGCAAATTTAATTTTTTCAAATTTACTTTTTATCCACCCTAACTTGAGGCAAAATGAAGGCCTGGACAAGCGCTAAGGTATCCTGCCTGTGTTTCAGAATGGCAGTGGAAGGACGAACGGCTAGCGCCTTCCTCCACTGTGCCCCACACCCGGTGCCAGTGTCCATTCAAACCCCGCACTGCCCTGCACCCCGCGACATCAACCAGGCACTACTGAGACCGCGATGCCCCAACAGCACCCCTGACACCCTGGGCGAGCCTGCTGGCTGTCAGCCGGGAGGACGCGGCGGTGGCAGGACAGCGAGCCCCGAGACTGGACCACGGTGCCCAGAGCGCCCTCCTGCCGGCTGAGCCACACCCACTACGTCCAGTGCCCGGACAGGAAGGCGGCGAGTCACCGCGGGGCAATAATGGCTATTCTGACGTTTACGCGCCTGCGCCCGGGCCCCGCTTCCGGACACACACCGCCCAGCCCGGCCGGCAAGCTCTGATTCCAAACTAATGTCACCCTGCATTCGCGTGGCCCTGGACGCGACTCGGGACCGGGCGCGCGATGCGGTACGAGGAGCGCGGTCGGGGGCGCGTGGTCGGGGGCGCGC